TTTAAACCTGATTTTCAAAATCCGAATATATGCTTAGAGTTTTTTTAAAAAATATGGCATTTATATAGTGTTTTTAAAACCTGTTGTGCGCCGTACTTGGGTCCCCTTAGGCGGGAAAAGGGGGCATAGAAAAGAGTTAAATAAAATAAATAAATAAGAAATAAATAGGGTTTCTTGGGTTTTAGAAAGCCGAGAGTTAACAGGGCTGGAGGAGATAAGTTCCAAGACAAGACTCTTCCTTCCCCTGTTCTTGCCCACCTTGAAGGTTGGTCTTCTATTAAAATGAGAGTTGCTAATCCAAGAGGATTAAGGTTTTTGCTTCAGACAGAGACTGATTATTTGAAGCCAAGCTCTTGTTTCAAGCGGGACCGCTCCAGCTTCTATTCTGAGCAGGGCATTAGCGAGATAGCACGGGACGTCAGAAACCGTTGGCAGCAATTCAGCCTCCACTGCCTCAAGGGGGTGGAAGTCTTGACATAAACATAGTCCTGCACCGTGCATTAGTTGGGCGGGCTCCTTGTCTTGGAAAACTTTCAGTACATATGGCAAGTAGAAGCAAGAGCCCCTTTTCGAGAGAAAGAACCTCAGAATGACAGGAACAGTTCTCACATCGACACGGGTAACACGGCCTCTCCACTGCCCCATCCTCTGAAAGTGGAAGAAGGAATTTAGTTACTTTAGCCTGTCTGCTATTTCAGTCGCCAACACAAGTGGAACTAGCAATGATAACAACAACAGCACCAACAAGAACCATGTGCTGGCCAGTCCATGCTGATTTACGCCAACCCTTTTTTTTGAGTTTTCTTGGTAGAACAGCTGTTCTCAGCAAGGGTCATACAGCCCCCCCCAGGGGGGTCAGTCCTGGGCCCTTTGAAAGGTGCCCAAGGCTGGAAACAAACCACCTTATAAGGTTCCTTGTGTGACTTAATGGAATCCTGATTTGGCCTATATTTCTTTCATATTGTGTTTATGATTGTGGCCCAAGGATGGTTGAGCATGGCTGCTGTCAAGGCGATTTATCAGGGATGGGGCCGGCAAACACAGAAAGGGAGGGAGCTTATGGCTTCCTTTCATTTGATGCCCGTGGGGTTGTCTTTACACCAACAACCCTTTCTCCCAACCTCCGTTCCCAAGTCCTGTTCGAGAGGCAGAGCAGAAGGAAACTGTGCGATTCCCTTGCGTGACCCCATCTTGTGGCCACAAGAAGAAGGAATTGACTACTAAAATCATTCTGAAGTGAAGCAACTTGTTCCTAAGCCATATTTAATTAATTTCTGCCTCATCCAAGGCACTACTCTAATAGATGCAAGACGTTCAGTCCACGAGTGTATCTTTGTTTTTCTTTTGTTAACCAGAAACGGCAATGTTTCTGCAGAACAAGCCTACGTTGGGGCCATTGACTTATCCAATTAGCCCAAATCAAGATGAATCACTCACTGCTCATCTATCTCTCGTTGCACCAGTCAGACATAAATGGATCGGCTCTTATAAATCAAAGGGACACATCACCATGTCAAAATGATGTAGCTGCTGGTGGCTAATTAAATGCTTTAGTTGCACAACACAGAAGTGTCAGTAATTTTACACATAATGCTGTCTGGGACAGGAATAATAGAGCGCGCTCTCATTCTGTATCAGTATTGACTGTTCTGAGTGGTCTCGGTGTTCCAAAGGGTCTCAGGTCTGCCGCTGGAAGACCCTTTTAACTGAAAGACGCCCGGGATTAAAACTGGAGAAGGAGGAATGTATTTTTGGGCTGGGTGGTCTCTGGGCAGATCACAGAAAAGTGTAGCGATACTGTGTCATAAAACGCTTCGTACAGTAGGACCCCTGTATCCACAAGTGATCGGTTCAAAGACCCCCGTGGATGCTGAAGAACGCGGATTATAGAGAACGCTATTGTAATAGCATAGCATTGGCTACTTCTGGAAACTTCATCATTAAAATATATATGGAGGGATTTTTCTTTTCACTTTTTAATGTTTTCAGACCATGGATAAGTGAATTAGTGGATAATGATCCTGCGGATAAGGGGGGCCTACTGTATATTTTACATTAGAAAACACTGGAGAATACGATATATATATGCATAAAAGGGATTAAATTGCCTGCTGCCAGAAATATTGCCGGGTCGCTCCCTATCGAGCCTCTTTTGATTGTATGGTTGAGTAACTTAAACTTGCCCATTGATGAAGTCATCGTCCCTGCTTTCTTCTGTAGAAGCGTCAGATTTTGGTGACGGTCATTGAGATCTGCCTGCCGCTGCTGTTTGCTGCGATCCTCATTGCCCTCCGACAGCGTGTGCACTCCGTCAGCCACCCTAATGCCACCATCTACCAAACCGAGGATGTGGACGAGCTGCCTTTGTTCTTCCAGCACTGGCACCCTCGTCCCTGGGAGCTGGCCTACGTCCCGTCGAACAACACCGCGGTGGAGACGGTGGTCGAGGGAGTGATTGAGACCTTGCGGATCGGCCGTGTCAATATCAAAGGTCAGCTTGTTCAGTGGGGTGGTTTTCGGCGCAGGGCAGTGCTCCAGGTTTTGGACTACATGCCCCATAATCCACCCACCACCACCACCACTTGGTCAGCATGGCCAGGGGCTGGGGATTCCGGGACCTATCATCCGAAAATGGAATTCGTCCAAGCTCTGATCACTTGCATGCACATTTTTCCTTCAGTCTGCAGAGATGACCTCATTCAAGAGGTAACCATCTCTGTTTCCATGGCGCACAGACGGTACGGATCAAGAACACGTTTTTCCCCAGTTAATGCCACTCTCAATTATTGATGTAAACATGGTGTCCTGAATGGTTGAGGGAAAGCAGAAAAGAAGGATGAAGGTGGTTGATTTTCCCCTTTGTAAATATTATTACATAGTGCTGCGGAGTGGTGTTGGGCAGGGATTCGGGAGCGTCGGTTTCTGCTTTGCACTGACCCGGGAAAGTTGCTGAGTGGACTTGAACTCATCACTCGGTCTCAGCCCAGCCTCCCTCACAGGGTCGTCGTTTTAAAGATAAAAGTGAGGAAAGCAAAGAAAGCCATAGATGCCACCTTAAACGTGTTGACAGACAAGCAGGATAAAATTGTAAAGTAGTATGTAAATAAATACAGTGGTGCCTCACATAGTGAGGTTAACCGTCGCTATGGCGAAACATCTCTGTACGAAATGGGGAAAGCCATTGGAACGCATTAAACTTAGTTTAATGCGTTCCAATTGGCTCCAAAACTCACCGTTCAGCGAAGTTGTTCCATAGCTGGCAGCCATTTTCGCGCCCTCGGTAAGCGAGGGGAGGGCGCGAAAACACTGCGTGCAGCCATTTCGGGGCTTCCAGCGGCCATTTTGGAGCCGCCGAACAGCTGATCTACGGCATCGCTTTGTGAAGATCAGTAAGCGAAACGCTTACCGATCTTCGCAAAGCAATTTTTGCCCATAGGGGCCATTGGTGTGCAATCGCATTTGCGATTGCAAAAACCTAATCGCTATGCGATTTCGTCGTTATACGGTGCACTCGTTAAGCGAGGCACCACTGTAATGAATAATTATAATAAACCATCAAGTCAATTCTGACTTACCGCGATCCATTTCAGGGTGTTCCTGGGAGAGAAGACTCAGAGGTGGTTTATCCTTCCCTTCTTCTAGGGGTCATCCTTGGACTGTTCAGCATGCCCATGACTATGCAAGGTGGCTGTTCTCTCAGGAGGCACAAGTGGGGAACTGAACTCTCAACCTCAGGTTCCACAGCCAGATACCTAAACCACTAAGCTATCCAGCAAGCTAATATATACATATATTCCTGCCCTTCACGTATTTAACTTATGGAATTTCCTGCCCCAGGATGTGGTGGCGGCCACAAGCATAGCAGGGGAAGACATCAGTGCATGGAGGATAAGTCTACCAATGGCAGTTTGTCCATGTTCAGAAGGAGGCAGTTTCCGCCCGCTGCTTGCTAGTAGGCAGAGATTAGGGATATTCTTTTTACTCCTTGTTTGGAGGTGTCCCAGGAACATCTGGCTGGCCACTTAGTTTTGTCCCAACAGGACTTGGATCGTTGCATTCTGTGTCTTGCACAGAAGAAAACACCGCCCATGCTCCTTGTTTCTCAGCGCACGGATGTCTTTTTTCCTTGCAGCTCGAGGCTTCTTATCGGAGCTGGACTTCGAAAACTACATCCGGTTCAATAACCATTCTGGCAACATTTTGGCTGGGCTCGTTTTTGAAAACTGCTTGGCTTACAGTCAGGAGCCCTTGCCAACCCAGGTAAGAAAGGAAGGTATCCAACAGCTGAGGAGCCCTTGCCAACCCAGGTAAGAAAGGCCGCGGGAAGGTATCCAACAGCTTATTCCCAGGAGTGCCTGAAGTCGCAATCCATGGAGAAAGTTTGTGTGCGTGAAAATGGCTTGCTAGACACAAATTTGCTGGTCCGACAACAAATGACTTGGAACACAGCAAATGTGTGTACAGAGCTTTCTCATTGTTGACATGCGCCATTCAGTTGCCTTCACATTGTTGACATGCGCCATTCAGTTGCCTTTAACGTATGGCAACCCTATGAATTAATGACCTCCAAAATGTGCTGTCCTCTGCAATCATGCTCAGCTCTTGTAAGCTCAAGACTGTGACTTCCTTAGGGACTCTGTGNTCTTGTAAACTCAAGACTGTGACTTCCTTAGGGACTCTTTCCTAAGAGTAGCTTCTTGTCCACAGTATAGGTTACACATCAAGTGCTGAGGCACACCCATTTTTTAAAGAACAATGCATCTATTCTTGTGATCCGCATTGTCAAAGGCTTTGCTGTACTCTATAAAGCATAGCCTGATCTTCTGAAATTTTTGGTGCATTCCAGTAGCCAGTGGATATTTGCAATATGATCTCTAGTCCCCCTAATTTTCAGAATCCAGCTTCATTTATTACTCCATATAAGGTAATAGTTTTTTGTTCTAATACATTGAGGATCACTTTACTTTCATGGGAAATCAGGGCAGTGATCCTATAAATAATGCACCCCTTAGCATTTCCTTTCTTGGGGACTGGAACATATTTTGAATGTTTCCAGACTGTGGGCCCTCTTATTTGTTGGTCTGTTCTTGTTAAGATTTTCCTAGGTTCAGTCTCTGTCACTTGGAATAGTTCTATCAATATTCCATCTACCCCTGGTGATTTTCCAGGTGTTTTCACAGCAGTGTTTGCTTTCTAAAATCAAGTTTTTTCCATAATTAAATGCCTTTTCAAAGGGATTATTATCCTTTTGTTTCTTCCATATAGTTCTTCAGTATATTGTTTCTATCTTCTCTTTATTGTACCTTCATCAGATAGTATTCTACCCTGTTGATCTTTCAGCATTCCTAATCTAGGTTTAAGTTTCTCTTTGATTTCTTGGATCTCTGAAGGAGTTGTCTTCCTTTCCCTCTTTTATTGTTCTATTTATTTCCACTGATCATTTTAATAGTTCTCTTGTTTCTGTGTGAAAGTTGATGAAATTTGCATCCAGGACCCTATTTCTGGCACTACTTACTTTTGCTGCTGTTCTGTCTTTAACAATTTGAAGTGTTCCCTCTGTCATCATCTAGGTTTCTTCTGTCATCCTTTAGGTTTCTTCTGTCATCATCTTGGTTTTTCTTTTCTTTTGACTAATGGAATAGTCTTTTTGTATTTTTCCTCAGCAGTATCTCTGGTTTCAATCCACAGTTCTTTTCTTTGATGGTCAGTGGAGTTTAGTCATGTAAATCTGATCTTTATGTTGTCTTTAAGAAATGCAATTTAAGTTATATTTCAGACGTATGATTCTTTTAGTGTTCTTTTTCAGCTTTAATTTTGATGCTAACTATTCCTGGTGAGTACCACAATCTACTCCTGGTCTCGTTCTATCATAGAGAATACAGTTTCTCCATCACCTACTTCCAATAGTGAGTTTGATTTCTCTATTGGTCATCTGATTGTGGTCATTTGTACAGTTACTTGTACAGTCCAGTTGCTTGAAACATGTATTTACGATAAACAGAGCTTCACAGTATTCTATGAGTTGTTCAACTGCTTTGTTTATAATTTCTAGGTTAAATTCTTCAACAATGTCTGGTTCTGTTTTGTTTCCTACTCCTATATTCCAGTCATCTGTTTGTCAGCATGTCTTGTTTTGTTGTGTGATCAATTTCCTCCTGAACACTTCCATAAAAGCTTTCAGTTTTGTCTTCTTCAACACCTGTAGTTAGAGCATAGACTTGAATTATGGTTTATGTTGATAGGTTTTCCTAGACGTCTGATGAATATTATTCAGTCCAACTTTGCATTATAGCCCCTAACTACTTGTGCTACATCTTGCCTCAGGATTAGAACTACAGTTACTCCATTTCTTCTTTGTCATTGTCTGAATGAAAATGTCACATTCCAGTCCCCTTCAGTTCAGTTACACCCAAGTATTGAATTTTTTTTCACTGCTGCAGATTCTCAATAGTTCCGAAATTTGGGAAATGTCATGCAGTTCTTATTGCTGCCGTTCTTCCTGTGGTGGTGATTATGATAATGATGACCGTTGTTGTTATTGCAGGTTAGTTACCAGCTACGTTTCAAATACAGTCCTAGGAACGCCCCTCCAAGCGAACAGACAGGCCTGAACCCCAATCTGGACCGGGACTGGCGCACCAGCTACCTTTTCCCACTCTTTCAGTTACCTGGACCCAGAGAAGCCAAGTGGGAAGATGGAGGCATGCCCGGTAAGTAGTACGCAGGCTGTAAATTCATCACGGCATTCTCACCTGGACAGAGAGGGTCAAAGGTCCACCGCCCCTTCTGCAGATCCATGCTGTCTATTCTGCCTTGCAGTAATTCTACAAGATCTCAGGGAAAGGGGTGAGGTTTCTACGCAGCTCGCTCTTAAGCCTCACAGACCTTGGAAAAAAGTTTTGTCACTACGCACCCCAGAATCCTTTGCTTGGTCATATGTGTTTTTTTTCTGACTGTGTGACTTAAGAGGTTTTCTTTATGATGTGCTTACAGTCTGCAACGTTTTATTCTGACAAAGTATGTCTTTGGTGTGCATTTACTGTATGTCAGCTGCTTGCAGCTTTTGCCTCCATTCTGGGTTTTCTTGAGAGTCATTATCATGATTAAACAGGCGTGCAATATTACCTTCTTTCATCCATTTCGTGTGCCAAGCTGTTTTCTCCTGTATTGCTTGTCCTTGTGCCAGAGTGGGAATTCTTCAGCACTCAAAGGCAAACTCTGGCTTGTAGTCTTGGTCCAGCGCAAGGTTCTGAAGGAGGAGGCTGCTCCCACTGGAGTGCGCCGGATGGCACCGGCGATCATCGATAGCGTCGCTGTTTTTTTGGGCTCAGCTTATGCTGAAGAGCTATGAGAGAATGCATTTCATTAGCATCTTCACGAATGTCTGCAGCTGTAGGGAGGGAAGCACTGCCAAAAAGTGTGCCTGGGCTTGGAACATTTTCATGTGAAGTCATCTCATAAATGAAACACATGCGCCAGGCCTGCGGGAGCCTTCAGTCGGGCATTCCCAACGCAGTTGGCCAGCTGAGAGCACACCGCAGGACTTCTGCCTAGCGGAAAGTTGCTGGAGAGGTCTTTACGACATTTCAGCAATACAAGAGACAAGGAGGAAGGCACGAAGGTTGGCCAGGCTTGATTTGGAAAGGAGCAGAGACATGTAACAGCCTCAGACATGTGTCTGAAGCCTATTTCATGAATCCAGAGAGCATTTCTTGTTTCTAGTTTTCCAACCGGTGTTGACAGTTAGGGTCTCCTGAATTTCTGATCGTGGACATCTGGGATTCCTCGGACAGCCATGTTCCCTTCTTCATCAAACTGTCCTTTGGTTCCCCCCAGCTTTATATGTGAGGGGTTTCCCCATTCCAAGAAGCTGGAAATGCCAAGTTATCATTTAAGTTAAAATACGTTGCTATGTTTGATCCCCTTCTTTTGCCTTTGGCTGCCCCCACAGTTGGGCTGCAGTTCCTGGAAATATCTCCAAAACCTAAATTTGGCCAGGGGCTGAAAGAAGTCCTTTGTGTTTGGCTTAGATTGTATGTGGATTTAGGGCATCTAGGTACTTGACCCCACTGAGCCACTGTGTGACGCTAGATGGAGCCTGGCCTACCTCACAGGGTTGTTTTTCAGGGTAAACTGGATGAAAGTGAGAACCATGGATTTGAACTCACTGAATGAAAGGAGGAATACAAATGCAGCTAGTATATACATAACAACCAGTATCCTGTTCAGCATTCACATGCTCCAAACTTAACTGCAGAACCTGCCATGGTGATCTGACAAGGTGCTAGTTGGCACCTTCCTAGCATCTCCACAAATGGCTTCAGCTGGAGCTCAGGGCAAGTGGAATGGTTGAACAAATACTGGCCAGTGGTATTTATCAATACCTTGTCTTGCTTTCCTAGGTTACTATCGGGAAGGTTTCTTGGGCGTACAGCACATTGTGGACAAGGCAATCATCCAGTACCACACCAACACATCATCCGCAGACTTCCTCGACAAGATCGCCGTGGTGGTTCAGCGCTTTCCTTACCCGCCTTATGTCAACGACCTTTTTGTCCTGGCTATTCAAACCCAGCTTCCACTGCTGCTTATGCTGAGCTTTACCTATACCTCGCTGAACATTGTCCGGGCGGTGGTGCATGAGAAGGAGAGGAAACTGAAGGTAAGAGGAGGATGCTGCCCAACTCCAGTGGGGAAGGTTACCTTCCTGAATCACGACTCTCAGATTTCTTTACCGGGCTGGCTGGTTGGGCTTTCTGGGAGTTGTAGTTTTGGCCTGTAACTGTGTCAAAGAACTGTTAAATTTACAGTTTAACTGCTTGAGATTAGACTCTCAAAGGGTTGGAAATACAGTAGGGCCCCCATACCTGTGGGGGATTGGTCCCAAGCCACCTCCCATAGAGGCTGAAACCATGGATAATAGCAAACTCTATACATAACACTGTCTCCATCTAGTGGCCAGTTCTGGTAATTACATTGTGGAAATACTTATTTCTGGGTGGTTGTTTTTCCTCTTAATTTTTTTTAATATTTTCAAACTGCAAATAATTGAAACCGCGGATACTGTTCCCACTGTAGATAGAGATTACTAGAGATGAATAATGATGAGGACAAGTTATAGTAAAAAGTTAACATCAGCCTGGTGCTCTACCCTTCATGTCGTTGCCCTGATTTTTGTGTTCCCAGGAGTACATGCGCATGATGGGGCTTAGCAACTGGCTGCACTGGAGTGCCTGGTTTCTGATGTTCTTCCTCTTCCTCTTGGTGTCGGTCTTCTTCGTCACTGTCCTCTTCTGCGTCAAGGTGAGCACCTGCCAGGCGTTCTTAAAAACAAGCCTTCTGCGTCAGGATTGCCATCTGCCGTTCCTGGGGCAGCCTCAACCACATCTTACCGTTCGGGCCAAAGGCGTTAATGCTTTGGTTTGTGAACGATGGTGACAAAATCCTGATGATAACAATGAAAGAGACGATATGGTGTGACGGTTAGAGTGCTGGATTGGGACTTTGGTGATTCAAGGTTGAGTCTCTGCATAGTGTTGAAACTCATGGGGTGACCTGGGGTTGGTCTTGGTCTTTCTGTCTGGCCTGTGTCACAGGGTTGTTGTGGGGCTACGGGGGTGGGGGGTGGGAAGAAGGGTCAGGCATACGGGGGGGGGGCAGGAAGAAGGGGCAGGCATTCAGGGCATTGGGGAAGATTCCATCCTCCTGCCCCCTCCAAAAGAGTCAGTAATGATCTTGTTGGTGGGGGGATGATTACAAGTTCTGGCATAGAACATCAAAGCACCAGGATTTTTTTGAGTAATAGGGACCATGAGATTACCTGTCACCACTATTCTCAGCTTCCCTCTTCTGCAAGGCTCACAACACAGAAGGGAAAGAGTTTCCCACGAGTACTATATTGTTACTAGCTGTTCTTTCCACAGCGAAAAGTATTTGAAGGTGATGTGAACCGAAATCAGTCATTAAGAGCCATTAAAACTGCAAAAGATCTGCTACTTATTTGTTGTTTTGCATCCCTTTTTGGACTCTCTTTCAGCTGGCTATGGGGAGGGTCAGGATGAGCACCTGCGATTCCAAATCCCCTAACAACATCATGGATGTCCGTTATCTTCATTATGAGTATAACGTTTTCTCCAGAGGATATCATAGGCGTTTCAGAGTGGTGGACAGATTTAGGTCAGGCAACGAGCCAAATCAAAATTAACAATATTAACAGCATTAAGTGGAGCTCTCTCTGGCGTTGCTTTTAAGAGAAAAATAATATATTTTTTAAATCTGCTAATCTGGTCAGAGAGCTTATATTTCTCCTTAGTTCCATTGATTTCCGTGGTATTAAAGTGTATTTATCTTTTCCTCAATTGCACCCATTGAAGCTGTCCACAAATGAAACAGTTGTTTCACAGAAATGCTGTGAAAGGAATATCCAGATAAAGTTTTAGAGTAATTTGTCTATTTACAGCGGCTGCTGTTGCTACTGCTATGGAGAATGCCCCAGAACGGAGGCTTTTTTATAGCCGTCCCTCTACATAAGCAGAGTTAGCTTATTTATGGGGGGTGAGAAATACAGAATATTCTCCTTTGAATTACACACCCTTAGACATCTAGTTCACCTTCCAGAAATACGCTGTGCTTCGTCCATCATGCTTTCTCATTCAGACACCATTGGGTTCTTCTATAGGGATGACAGGCTAGTAGCGCTACTCGATTTCCAGCCACCGCTCTTGTGCTTTGGTGCAATGGGGCTACCCCACTGGGACCATGACATAAGGATAGGCCTACAAACTGACAGGAACGATGTGACCAAATACAGAGATAAGCGACTATAGCAGACATGGGTCCATGATATGAGCCTTCTGCAGCTCCATGCCAGAGGGAAGGGAGACCAGAAAAGGGGGAAAGCTCATGCAGCGTGCGCTGAGGCCACGATCCGCTGAAGAGCATGCTTCTGCACAGAACGGTGTCCTTGAATCCTGTTTGCGACACCAAATTCCAGAAGAGATCTCCAGATAAAGAATGAAAACAATGTAAAACGATTGCTACTGCAGTCACAGGGGAACTGTGAAAAATTGTCGTCGTTTGTCGTTAAGTCGTGTCCGACTCTTCGTGACCCCATGGACCAGAGCATGCCAGGCCCTCCTGTCTTCCACTGCCTCCCAGAGTTGGGTCAAATTCATGTTGGTCGCTTTGATGACACTGTCCAACCATCTCATCCTCTGTCGTCCCCTTCTCCTCCTGCCTTCACACTTTAGATTTTTTTTTTTGTGAAAAATCAGTTCTCCACTATTCCAAAGCAGTACACAGTGTTGGACCTTATGATACCCATTCATCCGCGTGTACACTTATTTGTAGGGGGAAAGTACAGACTGTTCTGATTTCAATGACATGCCCTGACTTAATTCTTTTTCTTCCTCGCTGCCATTTAATCAATTTCATTTAAATAGATTTCCACAATACCCAAGCCTCGTGGTGGGTGTTTTTCACTGAGATATTTTAATATCAAAACCTGCTGCCTGTCGTTAGAAGGCGTGGCATCCTCCATGTTTTCTCTTTCGCTCCCCGTGTTTGTTTGGTTCTAGAAATGGAAACAGCTTCAAAATAAAACAGGATGCTGCTATTGTGCAACCTTGCGAGTAAATTTCCACTGTCCCTCATTACAATGGAGATTGACGAATTAAGGGACTTTGCATTTTGTTTGCTTGAGCAGCTGATTCAGACTTGCAATCAAACTGGCCCTCTTTTAAAGTGTTGTTTAAGCCAAGCAACCAAGATTTGCTTTCAGCAGGACCCGACTCCTTCTTTCTTGTTCCCTTTTCAGCTTCAGGGCTTCTGCAGTTATCCGCGCCGGCGATGAGCACAGAGCAAATAAGTGAATTTATTGATGCGTGTTGATTTTTACAGGTGAGCGAGCAAGGAGCGGTGCTGACAAGCAGCGACCCTACGCTGGTGTTCACTTTCCTGACTGTCTTCTCCGTCTCAACGATCTCTTTCAGCTTCATGGTCAGCACTTTCTTCTCCAGAGGTGAGTTCGAGCGTTGCTCCTGCCGTCTCCCCACTGGGGACCAAAGGGTGGTCAATTCACCCAACTGCTCTGTTACCGGCCAAAATTTGGGTTCTAAGATTCTGTGGCAAGGAATCAGACACGGAGCAAACAGCTGAACCAAAGGCCCAATTTTAGTTGAATAGCAGCAAAGAAAAGGTCAGCCTGAGACTTCTCTTAAAAGCAGAGAAGACTCCCAGAATATACATGTTTTATATGACACAGACAAAGAGTCTTAAAAGTATTACAATTCTATTGGTCATTTGTACTCCAGGTTTGGAACCAGTCCCTCACTGGGGAATTAATGGTAACTACGCTAATCTATTGGTTAAATGTAAGAAAATATATTATGCCCCATCTTTCCTTGACTTATGTCCATGATGCACCAGGGATGTGCCTAAAAGTCTGGGGCACAGAGTATTTGTTTCCTTTTATCTATTGCTGTGTCTATGTATTGTCTTCCTGGACCTAGTTTCTCTGAGGCCTGTGTTTTTCTCTGCTAAGGGTTATCTGTGCTAAGAGTTTTTCTAGTTACCTGAGCTATGTGTGAATGTCTCGGGGTCGAATTCTCCCGAGGCCTGGTTTTCCTCCGAATGTACTGTCAATTACTAATTCATGGATCAGTCTTAAAGTATAGTTTCGGCTTTCCTCGGTATCAACTCCATTCGCTCGAACCACACAACCCCTCCGGCCCCAGAAACACGGGGACAAGCCCTGCTGGATCAGTCCGTGGGCCTGTCTAGATTAGCATTTTCGTCACACGATGGTCAACCAGCGGCTTCCGCAAAGCCCACCAGCAGGACTTGGAGAGTGAGTGCAAGCGACAGTACGAAAGCATCCTGTCTCCAAAAATGAAAAACGAGAGGTCGCCATCCTGACTCTTGCTCACAGATGGTCTTACCTCCATGTTGATCCTCTTTCGTACCCTCCTGAGGTCGCCATCCTGACTCTTGCTCACAGACGGCCTTACCTCCATGTTGATCCTCTTTTGTACCCTCCTGGACTGAGGACTGCCTGAATAATTCTTCTCCGGGTCAGGCGGCGGATTGGCTTGCTACCGAGGATTCCATGTTGGAAAAGTTTGCTGTTCTTTTGCCACGTCTGTGGCAGATCAGGGCTGCAGACCTCTCTTGATGTTGCTCTACATGGCCAGCTGTTGCCACAAGATGAGTCGTGGCGGCTGAAATCCTGTTGGTGAAGCTGTGCAGCACAATGAAGATGATGTCATCAGTTGTGGCCGTGTGCAGCTGTTTCAGGATAATAAAAGGCTTCCTAAATCCCTTTAGATTTGGGGGTTCGTAGGGAACCCCTTTCATCCGGGGACAGCCATAGAACAGGAGGGGAGACAATGTAGAGCTGGGATATGGCGATCCTGCCGTCAGGAACAGCGTTGGTCATGGGTCAGCTTTAATTCCTTCTCTCCCCCCCCCCATGCTGCAGTTCTCAAAGGCTGCCCCACAAGAAAGGGGATCCTGGGGGAATTCCCAAAACCAGGGGAAGCTTTTTATTGCCCTGAAACAACTATGACATGACATCATCCTCACTGCACAGCATAAGACTATGTGTACAAGCATCCCTTCACACAGACAGCGTACATCCAGGAAGCCACAAACTCTTCTTTTGCACTTTCATTTCTTCTGGTTACAAAATCAGGGATGGAAAAAAAATGCAGCCAAGAACCCATAACCACCCCATTTTTACAGCCCCCCCCAAGGCCACCCTGGAGTCCTTCCCTCCTTTAAAGGCTTTAAAAAAGGCAAGGGGGGTGGTTTGAGAAAGGACTATTTCTGTTCCTTGAGAACTCTGTTGTTTTCATGTTTTCAGGTCCTTGACAGAGCAGGTCCCCCCAAGGCCCTCCTACACTGCCCAAAAATTAAAAATCGAAACTGGAAATGCCTCCTTGGGCTCTTCCAGCTGTGTGAGGTTCCCCACCACCGCCAAAAAAGGAAGCAATTGCTGCAATTTCTGGACCTTTTGCGTTCCCACCACTGGATCTGAGGGTTAATGTTTGGCCCCCGCACCCACTCAAAGTCACCCACTTCTGGAGTCAAACATGTTTCTCCAGTTTTAAAACAAACAGATGGGTTTACTTACTTTTTGTCCCCTGCAAAAGGATTACAAGCTTTGGAAATATATAGATCAGTGTTTCCCAACCTTTTCTTTTTTGAGTCATGATCCCCTTTTATAATAGACAAGTAACCTGCGAAACCACCCCAGCATATTTGCATTAAAAGGCATTTTTTATGGGGCAAAGAAAAAACCATAAAAGATAGAAGGAGAAGGCATACATCAGTCCGTGATATCCAGGATGTATGCTTTGTCAATCAGCGTCACGCTAATGGCCTTCCGTGTGTCGTAGGGTCCTCGCCCTCCCTCCCTGAAAATTCCCCAATATAATCCTTTTGAAAATTGTAGAGTAGCCATATTGAATTAAATAAGCTTTGGAATCCTTTGTGGTGCAATTTCCTATCGAAATAATTGCAACTGGAAACCCACAGTATTGATTCCAGAACAAGAAGGGCTTTGTCTGTAGCGAGCCTCCAGAGTTGCAGGCTTAGGTTGTTGTCGTAAGGAAGGGCAAGCCCAACGAGTAAGACCCAACACGGGATTTCACTATCCAACTCTTAAGGGAAAGGAGTCTTCCTTCCCTTTCGCCTCCCCTCTTCTCCCTCTGCTACCCTCTTTGGGGCCAAAAAAAAAAACCCCTGCCCCAGTGTGGATCCTGCTCTTCCAGAGTAAATTTTCAGGGTACACCAGGTGGAGAAGGAGGAGGAGGCTGAAGGAGGAAGGGGGATTATGGCCCCTAAGGCAACACGCTGAAATCCAGAGGAAAGATGTCACTCGATTCCACTCGCTGAATGTCTTTCCTCTCCCATTGTAGGTTATTTTAGACAAAACATCAGGAGGTTGACCCACAGTCCACAGAGCTGGTTGCAAAACAGTCCACAGAGCTGATCGCAAAACAGTCCACAGAGCTGGTTGCAAAACTGAGCACGCTGCTGCTGATTCGGCATCGCTGCCAATGAAAAAAACAGCTAGTTATGTTTACTTGACTGAATACCACCTACTATGGGGGGGTGTCCCATGTATTCAGGCCTGACCACATTGCACAGTTGTATTGCTTTCAAAGTGAAAGTTCAGGGCCGCTGTGTTGTTGTTGTTGTTTTCTCCCTGGCAAATCTGCCCTGCAGGTTTTTCAAGATGACACTCTTAATGGCCTTATCACATTCTGATCTGATGTGCTCATTATGGGATTAAAGAGGGATGGTAGTTAATCACAAACTGAATGGAAAGTCCCCAGAGATGAGGAAGGTCAGGTGAAACTTAGAATCACAGGGCCGAAGGGGACCCTCTCAATCACTAAGTCCAGCCCCTGTCGGGGGGGGGAGGCACCATGGGGGAATCAAACCCCCAACCTCTGGCTCGGCAGCTAGATGGCCTAAACCACTGAGCTAAAGCGCACATCTTTTTGTGGGCTTGTCAAGACAACACAAGACTTGTTAGATTTAATGTATTCGCGAAGGCTTTCACGGCCGGGATCTAATGGTTGTTGTGGGTTTTTCGGGCTCTTTGGCCATGTTCTGAAGGTTGTTCTTCCTAATGTTTCGCCAGTCTCTGTGGCCGGCATCTTCAGAGGACAGCACTCTGTGCTCTGCTATAGTTGGCTTAGGAGTGGAGTATTTTTTTTTGAGCCATTATCCCCTTTTATAAATACTCCACTCCCAAGCCAACTGCACCAGAGCACAGAGTGCTGTCCTCTGAAGATGCCGGCCACAGAGACTGGCGAAACGGTAGGAAGAACAACCTTCAGAACACGGCCAAAGAGCCTGAAAAGCCCATAACAACCAATATTTGGAGTATTTGCTGCTTCTCCTAGCCCCATATTTTTACCGCCTTTGTTTGGTGAAGATTTGGCGTTTGCCATCATTTCATTTCTGAATTATGGCAAACCCTATGAATTAGTCACCTTTGGAAGATTCCATCAGGTCTTGCAAATTCAACTCTGTGGCTTCCCCTATTGAGTCAGTTCATCTCATGTTTTATTCGCCTCTTTTCCTGCAGCCTTCAGCTTTTCCCAACCTTATTGTCTTTGTGGTGAGTCTTGTCTTCTCCTCATGTGCCCAGAACAGGATAACCTCCATTTAATGGTTTCTGCTTCTAGAAAGAGTTCAGACTCAATTATTTTACTAATGGTTGTAATGTTTTAGTGATCCAGAAGAGGATCACAGAACTTTATTTTTACAGCTACTTTTAAAGATTCTCTGAGCGTGATTCCTTTTCCGCTTTGCCTTCACAGCAAATATTGCCGCCGCTGCTGGGGGTTTCCTCTATTTTCTCTCCTACATTCCCTACTTCTTTATCGCACCCCGTTATGACCTCATGAGTCACAGCCAGAAGATTTCCTCCTGCCTCATCTCCAACGTTGCTATGGCCATGGGGGCGCAGCTAATTGGCATGTTTGAAGGGAAAGGTGAGTTGGCTTCTTCCCTTGACCACATTGCTTGGGGTTAATGGGTCTTGGAGTCCAGAAATACCTGGAAAGTTCCAGGTTCCGCCACCTCCTGCATTGAAAGGTTTGACAGCATTACATTTCTGCTGCTCAAGTTTCTGTATGCATCTCTGTCTCTCTGTCAAAACTGGGAATCCTTGTGGGATCAGTGGTATGAGTGTAGGCTGGAGCCCAGACATTCACTAAAGTCTTGTTTTCTAGGCACCGGCTTGCAGTGGAAAGATCTGATGAAGCCGGTCAGTGTAGACGACAACTTCACTTTGGCTCACGTGCTGGGGATGCTTCTCCTCGACTCTGTGCTGTACGGCTTGGTGGCTTGGTACGTGGAGGCGGTTTTTCCAGGAGAGTACGGCATCCCCCAGCCTTGGTACTTCTTCCTCATGGTGAGTCTTGGTCTCTCCGACTGGCCACAAGGGAGCTGTTCTGGAGCCGGAAAGGGTACTGAGTCAGAGGGAGGAGACCCAGGAGTGGCTACCCTGGATGATGCTCAGGCAAGAATAGGACGATGAAAGGCTCCTTGCTGGGATGGTTGGCTTAACGTTTATGAGGCAGAAAAAAATATTCACCAGTCGGTTTCATGACTCAGGGAAGGACAGTTCTAGGATGTATGCCCTGTTATTCATTTCGAAAACAAAGCAATCCATTTTAATTTCTCTGTATTTTAGCTGAAATTTTCATTTTTTTTTAATATTTGAATTTTCCAGCCTTTTTAGTTCATTTTTTTCCAGTCTTACTAGGAGCCACCTTGAGCCCCATTTTCAGGGGAAAGACAACAGTTATTATATAAAAAACATAAAGAAATATGAATGTCTCCTCACACTGAATTTTTTTGAACATGAAAGATTGCAGACTGCCAGATTCTGTAGACACAAACAAAGGGGAACAATGTTTTTTTTTTCAAAAACACAGTTCTCTTTCCTTCTTTAGCCTTCGTATTGGTCCGGAACTCCCCAGACAGTTCTCGGAAAAGAGAAGGAAGAGGAGGAGGATCCAGAAAAAGCTCTGAAAAGCCACTACATCGAGGAGGAGCCATCCGATCTGGTGTCGGGGATCAAAATCAAACATCTCTCCAAGGTGGGTTCCTGCAGTCTGCTATCCAGGAGAATCTGTGTGGTATGGTTGCTGGAGCATTAGATCAAGACAGAGAAGGTCTAAGATGCAGGACTGTCTCTTAGCCATAAAATTCACTGGCTGAGTCAGAGAGTGTCCATACAGCACAGTTACAGCATTTTCATACCTGTTTACTGACTGCGACTCCACACTTTAGATTCCTGGGACTTGTGGTTTGCTGAGGCACTTGATCTCTGCTAGAGAACCCTAGTGCTATAGGTGAGAGGAATGCAGTGGGGTTCACTACTCTCGACCTTGCCAGACTACAACTCCCAGGATTCCATAGGATGACCGTTAAAAGTCGTACCACTCCTATGAGTAGGTAATGTCAATACACTTCCACACAGCCTCTCATTCTGATCTGATCTGTCTGGTGGCTGTGAGAATAACATTGGGAAGGCAGAGAGTTGCATCTGCTGTACCGAACTCATCGGAGGAAATACAGAATATAAATTTGACCAGAAAAAGATACCATGGAATAGAGCTTGGGAAAGTAACTTCATTGGACTGTGGCCCACAAGCTGAAGGCCTGCTGTGAATCTTGTCCCTGTGGAAAAGTGGTGATGTCCACAGGAAAGGGGTGATGTCCCTGGGGAAACTGTGCTTTTCAGCAATTAAAAACGTCCTACTTTTGTCCCCTGGTTTTTCTGATTGGTGAGTAATGCCTTTCCTCGTGTAGAAGCTGTGAGAGCTACAGGATGGAAAGAGGAAGTCTTTAATTGCAGAAATTGTACTCCTACTTGTAATCTCATCTGACAGCAACTTCCAGTAATTAAAGACTTCTTCCTTCTGTCCTCTGGCTCCCAGGGCTTCCAGGTAATTAAGGGGTTATTTGGAAGTCAGAAAAGCTGTGGGGCAGCAGTAGGAAGTTTATAATTACCAAAATCTCCCAAAAAGAATCTTCCCCAAGGTCTTACAGAGAGTAGCTCTTTGGACCTTCTGCATGGAATTTATCGACCTGATAATAGAACGCAAACTAGGATTGCAAGATGCAGATGGGAAATACTGTAAAACCCTGAAAAGCCACTACCAATCCGAAATGACAGTATTGGTGAGAACACTTGCATTCAGAAGGTCCAAGAAGCCATCCTCTCTCTGTAAGGCAGAGATTGTGGAAGTCCCTATTTCCCTGCTATAATTCCCAGAATTCCATAGCCAGTGTGGGCAGCGGCGACGTTGACAGATGAATTCTGAGGCTGTGGAAGGGTGATGACGTTATGGGCAATACTGTCATGTCTGACAGATGAGGAATGACAGATGAGTCCAGGATCTGGCTTTGCTTCGGGCATCTTCAGATGTACCTGTGAAGCAGGCATTGGATCAAGACATCCTCAAGGATTTAAATGGATAAGCTTAGATTCGGGAATTTCAGGGGGAATGAGGGATTCCTTGGCAGCTTATCTCTTCCATAAAAAGAATCTCAGTCATGCTGTGCGAGCATAAAAGAAGAGGAAAGAAATGCCCGTTTTTCTCCCGCCATCTAAATCTGAATATCTTTTCCAGCTGTTCCACAGTACAGGGAGGTTTTGGATATTTTCTAGGGTCAGGAACCGAGCTATATTTCAGCTGTGCAAGCCTGTAGGCATGTGCTGAGAAGACAAGTCAGACTGAATTTAACAGCGCTTTCTTTCTTTATTTAATTCTACTTTTTATTGTTTTACCTCCTCTTTTCTCCCTCCCGCAGAGGGGCTCCAAATAAGTATTGTAATGCAGGAAAGAAAACAACAGCAACCAAATCACTAAAATGAACGGGTGGATTTAAAATTTATTAACACGCACATAAAAAAAGCCAGCAGAGTAATCCACATTGTAAAAAAAGGAACAAATGCTTCAGTGGCAATAGAATTGAAGCAGCCGTTCAAGAAGATAATAGGTCATCGGTGAATTAGTAGAAAGTGGGCCAAAAGGGTGGAGCCTCCGAGACTGCTGTTGACATACCGCTAACCCCCGGGGGCTTATATACTCTTCCTTCCCCCTCCCTTAAGGATGCTGATTGGTGGAGTTGGCAAGCGTTTGCTTCTGCTTTCAACTAAGGCCACAGCTTGCTTTATCTCCCAGACATGGATAACTTGGAATTAATCTTTTAAAAGGAAATGTGAGTTGGAAAGGGGTTAGGTATGAAAACACAACAGTTTATTCAAACTATACAGGATAAGGTCAGTACCTTTTTTTAAAAAAAACAACCCACCTGGTAGTTCGTCAGAGCCCGGGCTAAAATAACCAATAAAAAGGTAAAAATAAAATAAATAAATAAATAAATGTAAAAGAACAAATAAAAAAGATAAAAACACTTTAAAGACTGTTTTTTTTAAAAAATGCGAGCTTTCGTGAACAAGTTCACTTCTTCAGACATAAGAGAAAAAAGAAGTGGACTTGTCCACGAAAACTCACATTAAGAAATATAACAGTTAGTCTTTAAGGTGTTAAACAGATTTTTGTCTTTTAAAAATTCTTTTATTTTGTTTTTACTTACAGTGTTTGCCTAGACAAACAGACCTACTTTTTCTACAATTAAAGAAAAAGGTACTGTTTATCTCCTGAGGCCACATTTCCAGTTGATCTCATTGAAATTCGTCCCATATATTATTACTTGGTGTTCTGTCCGCACTTCTTTTCAGCGAAGTAGAGAACTCTCCGAGGGTGGAATTCAAAGCATGGGGTGTTATTCCCAACTAGAGAAGACCCATGAAAATAAATAGGATATAGATTGAGCCCAAGAAAATAAAAGGAGATCCTCTCTTTTGTTTTGTGTGGTTCTGTTTTCTGTTCTGCAACAGAGTGTCTGAAATACCGTATTTTTTCATCTATAAGACGCCCCCATGTATAAGACTCCCCACTTTTCTAATCCAAAATTAAGAAAAGTGGGGCTTAGCAAGTGTAAGGGGAAAGGGATCAAAGCGCTGCAGGATCGCTTTGATCCCTGCTTTCCCCTCCACTTGGTTTTGTTCTTTCCTCAGCTTACTTCCATGTATAAGACGAGCCTCTTATTCTAATGATTTTAGACAAAAGTATAGTCTTATACATGGAAAAATATGGAACATCCCGCTACGTCTGATTTACGATGACTAAAGCATCTCTAGAAAGTGCATCTAATATCTGTTTCCTGTATCCGGCCCACAGGTATTCCAGGTCGGTGGCAAGACGAAAGAAGCAGTACGAGACCTGACCCTTAACATGTACGAGGGGCAAATCACGGTACTCCTGGGGCACAATGGTGCCGGGAAAACAACCACTCTGTCCATACTCACAGGTAAGATTTGGCTGTTTGGAAGAGACGGATCTCAATAGGAGCCAAAGTCAGCATTTTCTCAACTGCCAGCGTTCTCCCACAAACTTTTAGATTAGCCAAACTGGTGGTTTGTTACGGTTCATTTACACAAGAGTTAAGTCCCCAAATCCTCATTCATTCTAGTGTGATTTACTACATGAAGCAACAGGATTTTGGCCCTAGTCTCTTTCGGTCCTTTTGGAGTTATATTTGCCACTCATCTGAATACTTCTGTCTTTTAAAAATGTTTCGACGGTTGTTCCCCAGGACTGTATCCTCCGACGAGTGGCCAGGCTTACATCAACGGGTACGAGATTTCTCAGGACATGGTGCTGATTAGAAAAAGCCTGGGCCTTTGTCCTCAACACGATGTCCTTTTTGACCACATGACGGTGGAAGAGCACCTCTACTTCTACTCTGGGGTAATCTTTGACAAGAGTGACAGCATTTCTGCATCGCAGTTTGCCGGGTTCTGTTGGCCACTTTCATCGCAGTTTACCCTGGTTGGGTGGCAAGCGGGTGTGAGAGAACCATGATATTGGTATGGTATTTCTGTTGTTGATGACTTGACTTATGTGCCACCCCATCATGCCAAAGCATTCTCCGGGCAGTTTATAGCATAATTATGCAAACAACACTTTGCCCGCTACCAACCTCGGAAGGATGGAAGGCTGAGTCAGCGATCTGAATCTGTCAGGGATAGAACTCAGGTGATGAGCAAAGGCCTGGCTGAAGGACTGTAGTTTAACCACTGTACCAAAGGAGCAGGCAGAGGTCACAGTGTCTTCTTCTGTTATTGAATATATAAAGGAAAGCATTTCCTTGCTCGCTTAAAAAACAACAACAGGAAAAACACAGAAAGAATTCAGTAAAGTGAGACTATTACCTACATAAAAGGACTGCTGTGTCCACTTCCAGAGTGTGCACATAGTTATGTGCATAGAACACTCTCCACTGTTATATAAAATTATACAGTGGTGCCTCGCTTAGCGACATTAATCCGTTCCAGGAAAAATGTCGCTAAGGGATTTCGTTGCTAAGGGAAATTAAAAAGCCCATAGAAACGCATTAAAACGTGTTTAATGTGTTCCTATGGGCTTAAAAACTGACCTTATGTGAAGAGCCTCCATTGCGGCAGCCATTTTGGGTGCCTCTAAAGCAAGGCAAAACAGTGGTCGCCATTTTGTTTTTCCGGAGGCCATTTTGGAACCGCCGATCAGCTGGCCGAAAATGGGGGCTTTGCGATGATCGCTTCCGCGCGATCATCGCTAAGTGATTTTTCCCCATAGGAAACATTGCAAAGCGATCGCTTTTGCGATCGCCAAAACAGCGTCGCAAAGCGATTTCGTCGCTCAACGGAGTGATCGGTAAGCGAGGCACCACTGTATTGGTAAATCCATTCTGACTTACATATTCCTTGTGTATTTTACTTGAACGGTTTCCAAATTCACTGCCGATAGAACCTCACCACTTCTTTTTGCTTGTGTCCGCAGGGCTTTCTTACTTTGCTGCATTCTTCACGTTGTATTTAAATAAAAAGAATTATAGCTAGGGTTGGCATTGCTGAGTCCCTGCTCCTTTCCTTACCTGCTGCCACCTGCCGCCACCGTCTTCAGAGGCCGAAAGTCCAGCTTCTTTTCCGGGATCCAGTTGCTTCCTCCGCCCGTGCATGCGCCGCCCAGCTGAGAGGGCATGTGTCTAGTCCAGCTTCTTTTCCGGGATCCAGTTGCTTCCTCCGCCCGTGCATGCGCCGCCCAGCTGAGAGGCCAGCGCATGTGTCTAGAAAGGCAGCTGTTGGTTCCCGGGAGAGAGGCCGGGCCTGCTGCCTCTGAAGATGGTGGCACCAGTGGTGGCAGGTAGGTATTTATTTCTTTATTCGACTTCTATACTGCCCCTCTTGGCTACCAAGGCCAAGCACCGAACACAAGAACTAGGCGAGCAACCAAAATTAAACCTATCTGTCCAGATACACAAGAGGTAGGGAGACTGGTCGGCGCATGCAGCCTGCTGCCGCTGAAGACGGTGGCACCAGTGGTGGCAGGTAGGTATTTATTTCTTTATTCGACTTCCATACTGCCCCTCTTGGCTACCAAGGCCACTCTGGGCAGTTCACAACACAACTTAAAAAGCACCGAACGCAAGAACTAGGCGAGCAACCAAAATTATCAGTCCAGATACACAAAAGGCAGGGAGACTGGGTGGCGCATGCGCTGTCCAAACCTTTGGTACCAAGTCCCAAGCCTTTAGGGGACGCAGGACAAAGGTCTCAAGTCTCGCACTCAGGGCTTGGTGCCAGAGACTTGGTATCGGACTCGGGACCCGAGCCCAAAAACCCGGACTTGAACTTGGGACTTGGTCCCTGATTATAGCAATGGCCAGAAACGAGTGCTCCCCGCCCCCACCCCTTGCGCTTAACTCTTCTCTCTTTGTGTCTTGCCGTAGCTGAAAGGATTCCCTGCAGAGAAATGCATGGAGGAGATCAGTCGCATCCTGGACATCCTCAACCTGCAGGAGAAACGCTTCTGCCTTTCCAAGGCCTTGTCCGGAGGGATGAAACGGAAGCTTTCCATTGGCATTGCGCTCATTGGGGACTCCAAGGCAAGCCTGAGTCTGGACTCTTTGGTTTCTCCATTATACTTACATTGGGGATCGACGCTTGGGTCGCTGGCTGGCGAGTGATCCCAGCCTTTGCCGAGCACAGGGGTCACCCAGGGGTTCCTGGACTGTGATTCCCAGAAGCCTTCGCCACCAGTGGTGCTGGCTAGGATTTCTGGGAGTTGTAGTCCATGAACCCCCGGGTTTATTTATTTTATTTATTTATTCTATTTATAAATAAATAAAATAAATAAACCCAGGGGGTTGCTCAAGGCTGGGAACCACTGGCCTAGCAGATCAGGAAGGGATCCGTTCCTGCCGTGCTACGAGAGGAGAGCAGGATGGCACATCTTTAGGAAGGAGTCGGTGTGCCTGAGAGTGTGGAAGAGTTATTACTTATACCACATATCCCGGAATTCTCCAGCCGGAATTCCCCAGACAGAGGGAGTCTGGGAGCTGTGGTTCAAAAAGCAATTTTTCCAAGCCCTACCGTAGGCGAGTGACTGAGCGCATGCTTTAGATGCCGATGGTTCCAGGTTCACTGCTGGCGTTTAAGTTAGATTGGATGGGTGTGGCTAGGATGGAGCGAAAGTTAAATCCTCATCCCCATCCCACTTATCTGTAGCAGCAGGGGTGTGTGCACGCATGTGTGTGCGCACGCATGCATACTTAAGTGGACTACAACCCCACCCAAGTGCTTCTGATTCGGATTCTGTTCTGCCCCCCCCAACTTCTCCCTTACTCAGATCCTACTTACAAACTCTCTTTTCCATTGGTTGTTGTGTTACACACAAAAGACCAGCTAATGACACCCATCAATCACAGTGACAGATAATCTCTTCTCCTCATCATAAAAATACACCCACAAGAAGACACACTAATCACCCTTCTCCTGAAAAGGACAAAAGCCTATCTCACAGCCATAAATACTCCACTCCCAAGCAAACTACACCAGAGCACAGAGTGCTGTCCTCTGAAGATGCCGGCCACAGAGACTGGCGAAACGTTAGGAAGAACAACCTTCAGAACGCGGCCAAAGAGCTCGAAAAACCCACAACAACCATTAGATCCCAGCCGTGAAAGCCTTCACAAATACATCTCTTGTCCATTGATTGACCCTGTTTTCCTTCAAGTTGCTCGAGGCAGGGCCCGTTTTACCTTCTCGACCACCCTGTGAGGTAGGCCAGGCTGAGAGACCCAAAGAAGGAAAGTGTCTCAAGGAGACCTAGTGAGCTTTATGTCTGAGTGGGCATTTGTACTCCCATACCCTCCCCCCCGATCCTTGTTGGGCACTGACCACCCGTCCAAGAGTGGCACCGTTTGGCCCTCCAGATGGGTTGAATGATCCCTTCCCACAATGCTTTGCTGTTTGCCCAGGGCTTCTGGGAAGTGAAGTCCAGCAGCTCTAAAGCCCAAAGGTTCTGTGACCCTTTGCACTTGTTTGCTTGTTTTGGGTGCCTTTCGGGTGCTCGTTGCCTCGGATGCAAGGCACGGGTTGCTCGGCCCTGAGACCGCCCCTCCTTGCCCTGCAGGTGGTGATGCTGGATGAGCCGACGTCGGGGATGGACCCTGTTTCTCGCCGAGCCACCTGGGACCTCTTGCAGCAACAGCGGAGCAGCCGCACCATCCTGCTCACCACCCATTTCATGGACGAGGCAGATCTGCTGGGGGACCGCATCGCCATCATGGCTAAAGGAGAGCTGCAGTGCTGTGGGTCCTCCCTCTTCCTCAAGCACAAGTATGGTAAGGGAAACCTGGAGCTCAGCACCTTTTACTTCCTTGGACTACAACTCCCAGAAAGCCTCGCTTAGCTGAGTGGCAGAGCGCTGGCCCGATAGGCAAGCAGTTCCGTTTTCAGTTCCTGGGTCCTCTGTCTTGGGATTGATAGACCAGGAATCAAATGTAGAAGGGCAGCTTTCTATGTTCCTGATGGTTGGGAAAGGAGCGCCTATTTTCCATGCAAAGGGTCCCGGGTTCAAGGCCCAGCATTTCCAGCAAGGGCTTAGGGGAAACAGTTTTCTCAAATTGCTGGTTGTTACTGCATGGTGATTGTGGATTCTTTTGGTGCAATGGTCCCTCACAACCTGTGAGAGTCCCCACAGAATCCAGCAGTGTGGTGTAGTGGGTAGAGTGATGGACTAGGACTCGGGAGAACTGGGTTCGAGTCCCTGCTCAGCCATGGAATCACACTGGGGAGTGGAATTGATATAACCACTCCTTAAATTCCCTCACTTACTTTGAAAGCCGTGCTAGGGTCGTTATAAGTCGGCTCCGACTTGACAGTACACGACAACGAGAACAGCAACCACATGGTGAAGTGTTTTCACATCGCCCTTCCCAATGGGATCAGGTGCAAAGAGACACAGGACTGACAGCGTCACGCTCGGGAGCATCAGGTTCCAAGTTCAATCACCAAGGTTTCCAAGGACGGTCCGGAAGGGGTCGTGCCTCTGATCCGGGAGAGCCTCTTCAGCTGATGTTCAACTCGATGACCCAACAATCCAGCCTCGTAGAAGGCAGGGCCCTCCATTGATCAGGGATTTGCCTTCACTCCTCCTCCTCTGACCCCTCTTAACCCTTCCAGGGGCAGGCTACCACATGGTGATGGTGAAGGAGCCCTGCTGTAACATTGGAGATATCTCTCGTCTCATCCACCACTACGTCCCCAAAGCCACGCTGGAAAGTAACGCTGGGGCTGAGCTCTCCTTCATCCTCCCCAAGGAGAGTACGCACAGGTAAGTCTTTCCCCCCCCAACTGGGATTCCTGGAGACGCAGAAGATCAGAGGCTGGATTTGCCAAGGAACTGGGGCCGCGAACCTGCGAAATTTGGTGCTCTCGTCCTGATGGCTTATGTGGAACCCAACTGACCCTGCTCAAAGGCTTTGCTTTTATCCGGGCCAAGGGCTGAGCGACCTGCGGACTCCTAGGTCTTCTTGGACTCCGCTTCCCATCAGCCTGAGCCAGTAGGGCCAATGGTGAGAGCGGGGAGGGGGGAAAGGGTCGTAGGCCACAGATTTCCCGTTGCTGCTTGGTTTTGTGTTTCACTTTGATGTGCAAAGGTTGAATGACTTCGTTTGACAAAGGCGGTGCTACGAGTATGTGGGGAGGGGAAAGAGAGCAGGGGGGACCGAGGAGGACTCACACGGCCTGCAGGCCCCAGGCAGAGTTAGCACAGCCCCGATCACCCCTTCAATCAGGAAAAAAAACATTAGCCAAAGAAGAAAACAGAAGCTTCCAGAAGCACCAAATTCTCATTTAAAACAAGGCACAACTTCTCTGAAGCCATCCCATTGTTTCGCTCCAAGGCAAGGTGTATTGCAAAGCTGAAATAGAATTCCAGTTCTTTTGAGAATTCCTTATTTTATTTTATTTTTGAGGCTGGCTCTACCCACAAAAAAGTCTGGAGGGTGGTCAAAAATGATGCATTGTGACCTTTAAGAGCGAGCTGTTTATTATGCTCTATTATATATTCCAGCATGTTAAAGGCAAAGGTTCCCCTTGACAGTCCAGATATGTCCGAATCTAGGGCGCGGTGCTCACCCCCGTTTCCAAGCCGTAGAGCATTTGTCTGTAGATAGTTTCCGTGGTCACGTGGCCAGTGCAAGTAGACACAGAATGCTGTGACCTTCCCACCGAGGTGGTACCTATTTATCGACTCGCCTTTTTACATGCTTTCGAACTGCTAGGTTGGCAGGAGCTGGGACAAGCGACGGGCGCTCACTCCGTCGCGTGGATTTGATCTTATGACGGCTGGTCTTCTGACCTTGCAGCACAGAGGCTTCTGCGGTTTAACTCACAGCGTCACCACATCCCCTGAATCCAGCATGTTAGTCTGGCCTATAAATAAATCTAAATGCAAAACAAATTTGTAGGTCTTCGAAGTGCCCCATCTCTCCTGGCCGTTGTGGGTACAAGCAGGCGAACGCCGCTGCCATCCGTCGGATCAGCTGCAGAATGTGAGAAATAGGATTCCGAGACCGCTTGACCTCCTTCCTTCTCTTCCAGGTTTGAGGCTCTGTTCACGGAGCTGGAACTGAGGCGGGAAGAGCTGGGCATTGCGAGTTACGGAGCTTCGGTCACCACCATGGAGGAAGTTTTCCTCAGGTAAGCCTCCGAGAAAGCCAGAGAGGGTCCTTGGCTCGCTGTTTTCATCATACTTCACCTCAGAAGGTTGTTGACTGAATAAAATGGTGTGGGGCAAGAAAAGAATTGCATACTAAAGAAAAGCTGGAATTTTAAAATGTGGAGGTTAATGTCCGTCCGTCCGTCCGTCCGTCCGTCCGTCCGTCTGTCTATCTATCTATCTATCTATCTATCTATCTATCTATCTATCTATCTATCTATCTATCTATCTATCTATCTATCTATCTATCTATCTATCTATCTATCTATCTTCAAGCACTCTCTGGGCAGTTTACAAGTTAATTATGCAGGCTACACATTGCCCCCCCCCCAGCGAGCTGGGTACTCATTTTACCGACCTCAGAAGGATGGAAGGCTGAGTGAACCTTGAGCCAGCTACCTGGGATTTGAACCCCAGGTCATGAGCACAGTTTTGGCTGCAGGACAGCGGTTTTATCACTGCGCCACAAGGCACACACTTTGTTCGTAGGCTTCACCTTACTGGATTTTTCTCTCTCTCTTTAAGAGTGGGCAAACTAGTAGATTCCAGTATGGATATTCAGGCCATCCAGTTGCCAGCACTGCAGTACCAGCACGAGCGGCGGTCCAACGACTGGGCGGTGGACGATTCCAGCAGCTTGAGTGGGATGACGGACATGACGGACGACAGCGGAGCGCTCATCACGGAGGACTGCTCCAACATCAAGCTGAACACAGGGGTGAGGTGGCGTTCTGGCCTCTTTCAGACCCGCGGGCTCCGGACGTATCAAAAATCATCCGAATCATCAAAAAAAGTCGAATCACTGGCACAATTTCCCTTTTCTCACATTTTTCCTTAGTGTTGTGTCTTTTTTAAATTCCATCATGGTAGAGGTGGCAGGATCTCTAACAATCATCTCCTCCAGCCCCTGCCAGAGTAGAAATCATTGGATGCCTCCCTGTCAGATGGTTATCCATCCTTGGTAGAATATAAAATTGTTGGTCTCGGTTCCACTGATGCTCCGGAGCGACTCAGGAGCTTTTTCGGTTTGAAGAATGGGATAAAAACGCTTGAAAGCAAATAAAAAAAGAACTGCTGGATAGCTCAGAGGTTGAGCTCTCTGGCTGTGGAGCCAGAGGTTGGGAGTTTGATTCCCCCCACTGGGTGTCCTTGAGGAGGGGCTGGACCGGATGATCTAGAGGGTCCCTTCCAGCTCTGCCCTTCTAAGAGGATGATGATCAATGAGAAGCCTATTTCTCTCTTGTCAGTGATGTGCAACTATTCTGCATCCTTTTTGTTCCTAGTTCTACCTCTGCTGCCAGCAGTTCTATGCCATGTTCATGAAGAGGGCCATGTACAGTTGGCGGAACTGGAAGATGGTGGTCGCTCAGTTCCTGGTGCCTCTGATCTTCACTGCCTTTGCCCTGGTGGTGGCCAAGACTTTCCCGGGGCCTCAGGACTCTTCCCTGCTGAAGCTGACCTTAACTCCGTACGGCAGGACGACCGTGCCTTTCTCCATTCCTCAAGGATCCAGCCTGGCCCAGAGAATAGCAGCGCAGTATCAGGAGGTGGTTGAGGCCCAGCATCAAGAGCCGTTAGAGGTGGTAGGTGAGTAGCAGGGCCAAAATGAGAGAAAGGGGCTGTTTTCAGCTACAGCTCCCAGGCGGCATGTCCGGAAATGAAGTGCAACCCGGGCTCGTGGGGTTGAAAACCCTCCGATCTTCTGAGTGTCAGGGGTTGTGACATCTGCCACCATCATCACCCAGGCTTTCCTAGCCATGCTGAGCTTAGCAGCAGTCTTCACAGTAGCTGGCAGAAAATGGATGTCCTATTGAAATCTCTTGCAATGCAAAATATTTGAAGATGGTTTAGTATTGAATGGGTCATTAAGAACCATTAACTTTGCAAAAGGTCGGCTCTTCATTTGGTTATAGAGGCCAATCCGGCAGCCTTCATGACTGGAAGCATCTTGCTTATGCCATGATGTGCACCAGTCCATCCAGATTTATCGCTATACCACTGAGCGTGGTCCGTGCTGACTTGGGGCTGCTGGGAGGTGTAGTCCAAAGAGGTAGCCTTTCCAGTCTCTGAATTGCATTGGGTCTTACATCAGACCTCCTTGCAGAAGCATGTCACATGGGCAGAACTGGTGTCGTTGCAGGAAACCTGCAGGAATACCTGATTTCGCGAGCCTCGGATGAGGGGGGAGCCTTTAACGAGCACTACATCGCGGCAGCTTCTTTTGAGGAGATGGAGGACCAGATGCAGGCCACGGCTCTCTTCAACAACCAGGCGTATCACTCGTCAGCCGCAGCACTGCTGTTGGTAGACAACGCCTTGCTGAAGCTGCTGGCAGGCCCGAACTCTTCCATCACAGTTTCTAATTATCCACAGCCCCGCAACATGATGGAGACAGCGAAGGACCAGCTGATGGAGTGAGTCCAGGGTTCCTCTTCTACTTTCCTTCTTCCTTCCCGAGTTCGAGAGCCAACCCACTAATCTTTCCCATAAAGAACAATGGGACAAATCTCCATAGATTAAACCACCTGTGTTAGCATTCGTTAACATATACAGTGGTGCCTTGCAAGACGAAAGTAATTCGTTCCACGAGTAGTGCCGTCTTGTGAAATTTTCGTCTTGTGAAAAGCAGTTTCCCTATAGGAATGCATTGCAATGCATTCCTATGGGAACCTCTCAAGACGAATGAAATATTTTCGTTTTGCGAGGCATCAGTCTTGGGGTGGGGAAATCATCTTGCAAAGCACGGCCATAGAAGAAGCCATCTTGCGAGGCACCACAGCAATCGCAAAAAACATTCGTCTTGCGGGTTTTTCGTCCCACAAGGCATTCGTCTTGCGAGGCACCATTGTATGCTGTTCCAAGACAACTTTATGATTAGCAAGTATTTATAAACTCCCTGTATTAAACACTGCACAACATTTTCGACCTTGAGATCGCATCTGGTGCCAGCTCAGAATTTGGGTCATCGGTACGTTCCCACGTGCTGCACACCTGTGTACGTGGAAACATACTTCAGCATGTTCCGTCTCTATGCGATCTCCACTGAGATTATCGCTTCTTTGTTTCTTCTGGCAGTAGGGAAACTAGGACATTAGTTTGTGGACCTGTTGGGCTAATTATGGACACTTTTTACAAACAGAAACGCCAGCCCTTTGACTTGTTGTTAGCTTGAGGCAAGAAATCCTGTGGGATTTCCCAAAAATCCTCATCCAATCAAGAAAAATGAGGATTGATGAGCATTCCCCATATTCTTACAAGAGGAGCTCCCAGCACTGTGAAGAACGTGTAGACCTGTGGTTATTGTTACATTTCAGATCCCGTAGGTCCTAGCTAGTCGATGGTGAGGCATAACGGGAGTTGGGGTTCATCCCCTTATTTCCCATTGCCATCTTCATTATAATCCCCTAGACTTGGTGTCATTCTGAACTTCGCTTGACATTGCCAGAGTACCCACCTTGAGCCCTTTGGTTGGGGTAGGGAGTAGAGATGGGCATGAACTGAACCAGAAGGCAGGAGAAGGTAGGTTTCACACGTCCTCCACCTCCGGCACGAACTGGAAAAAAATGAACCATTTCTCCCTGGGGGTTCGTGGTGGTTCATGGTTTGCCACAATCCATGAACCATCACAAACCCCCGTTTCCTCCACTTGTGCTCCTCTCTAGTAGGGAGCCATTCATCCGGGTAAAAGGCATAGTTTTCTAGCTGACCTTGGTTCCTTCTCACGCCCCACCAGAGGCCAGACGGGCTTTGCCATCGCGATCAACCTGCTCTATGGGATGGCATCCTTGTCTAGCACCTTCGCCCTCCTCTTGGTCAGCGAGCGGGCCATCAAAGCCAAGCATGTCCAGTTCGTCAGCGGGGTCTACGTCGTCAGCTTCTGGCTCTCTGCCCTCCTGTGGGATCTCATCAACTTCCTCGTCCCCTGCGTGCTCATGCTGGTGAGTCATGCGTGGTGTCCTGTTCCTTTCGTGCGCGCACAGTTCCCGAACAGATCCGTGCCATTGATGCTTGTTCGGCAAAGAAGCTTCGGCCAGACGAGGCCCTTGATCTCGTCTGGTGGAGGAGAGGCAAGCTGCTAACGAGGCACTTGATCAAAACGTTTTTGGGAGGCAAGCCAGATGTGTGTGTACTCATTGGTGTGGGAGGGAATTTATAAGTCAGTGTGGAACACACCTACTCATGTGTGTTTACTTCCGTTCAGTTAATCAATTATGCAGTGAATTTTAGCGAACTGTTTTCAACATCAGCCCTCACGCGTGTCAATTATCCTGGTACCTCGCTAGACACAAGGAAGGGGCGCAGACCGGCCCTAGAGAATTTGTCTACTCACGCTCCCGAGCTTTCGATAAAAGGCTGCCTGAATGTTTTCCCTGAGAGGGAGAACAATTCTGAAGAGTTTTGTTAATGAGATTTTAAGGAGGAAGGGAAAGAGACTAAAAGATTCCTGTGTAGCTCCTGCTGCTGTGGATTTGGCTGGAGAACCTTCCTGGCCCTACTGTTGGGCAGAGGGAGGAAACAGCCCCAGGCAGCCAGTCTTGGAAGGTCAGAGCTCTAAAGGTGACACAGCCTTTCCTGGACTTCCTAAACTCGCCTGCCAACTCATTGGCGGACATGCCACCATTGCCAACACCGACATAAAATTCAGTTACAGTGGTGCCCCGCATAGCGATGTTAATCCGTTCCAGGATTAACGTCGCTATCCGGAAACATCGCTATACGGAATGTAAAACCCCATAGGAACGCATTAAACTCCGTTTAATGCGTTCCTATGGGGCGAAAACTCACCAGTAAGCGAAGATTCCCCATCCGGCTGCCATTTTCGCCACCTCAGTAAGCGAGGGCAGGGAACGAAAACGCTGCGGGCGGCCATTTTATTCTTCTGGTGGCCATTTTGGAACCGCCGATCAGCTAGTTTTAGAACATCGCAATGCGAAGATCGGTAAGCGAAACGCTTACCGATCATCGCAATGCGATGTTCACCCATTGGAATCATCGCAATGCGATCACATTAGTGATCGCAAAAAACGCGTCGCTATGCGGATTCGTCGTTAGACGGTGCGCTTGTTAAGCGAGGCACCACTGTACCCTGAATGAATAGCTTTCAGTGGTCTCAGTCGCACATTGGTCTTTCTCACGATCTCCTCCTGTTCCTTAAATTTAGTGATGGCAAGGATGTGTAAAAAACAGACCAGACTGGTAAACAGCCCCTGAGTGAGATGAACAAATGGCCTTCTCCCGTGCGAGGCCGGTTTCTGTCTCCTTGATGGTAATCCTGCTTGATGTTGGTTGATTCCCTCCAGGTTGTATTCCAAGCCTTTGACGTCAAAGCTTTCACCCAGGACAGCCATCTTGTGGACGTGATGCAGATCTTCCTCCTCTACAGCTGGGCCATCATCCCCCTCATGTACCTGCTGAGCTTCTTCTTCTCTGTGGCAGCCACAGCTTACACTCGCCTCACCATTTTCAACATCTTCTCGGGCACAGCCACCTTCTTGGCCGTCACCATCATGAGCATTCCAGGTAAAGAGCTTGCCGTTGGATCCCGTCATGTGGGTGGAGCAGTCCTTTTCCTCAACAAGGGAGATCAGGTGCCTGGCAAACATAGGAACAGGGCGGCCTGCGTCTTGCCTAAAGTTACCTCAGTTTAGCATGGAATTGTATGTTTATTTACAGTATTTCTATATTCCTTACTTTCTTCATGTGAGATAGATATTGATGGTGGGTGATTTATTATAATAATGTTATTTATTTATATCGCACTCTACACCAGAGTGCATTCCAATAAAATCAATGATGTATAAACATGCAAAACAACATTTAACAACAACCTTAATATTGTGCGTGTGTGTGTCTGTTTGTATTATACCAAGGAGTAATATATAGTATAATATTCCTATTATACCAAGGAGTAAAAAGGAAAGAAAAAGAAAACTCAGTGATGACATACCTCTATCTATCTATCTGTCTATCTGTCTATCTGTCTATCTGTCTGTCTATCTATCTATCTATCTATCTATCTATCTATCTATCTATCTATCTATCTATCTATCTATCTATCTATCTATCTATCTATCTATCTATCTATCTATCTATTCTTTCTTTATCATCTCTCTCTCTCTCTCTCTCTCTCTCTCTATCCTACCTACCTACCTACCTACCTACCTACCTACCTACCTACCTACCTACCTACCTACCTACCTACCTACCTACCTACCTACCTACCTACCTACCTACCTACCTACCTACCTACCTACCTACCTACCTACCTACCTACCTACCTACCTACCTACCTACCTACCTACCTACCTACCTACCTACCTACCTACCTACCTACCTACCTACCTACCTACCTACCTACCTACCTACCTACCTACCTACCTACCTACCTACCTACCTACCTACCTACCTACCTACCTACCTACCTACCTACCTACCTACCTACCTACCTACCTACCTACCTACCTACCTACCTACCTACCTACCTACCTACCTACCTACCTACCTACCTACCTACCTACCTACCTACCTACCTACCTACCTACCTACCTACCTACCTACCTACCTACCTACCTACCTACCTACCTACCTACCTACCTACCTACCTACCTACCTACCTACCTACCTACCTACCTACCTACCTACCTACCTACCTACCTACCTACCTACCTACCTACCTACCTACCTACCTACCTACCTACCTGCCTGCCTGCCTGCCTACCTACCTACCTACCTACCTACCTACCTGTACATCAGCATAAGACTCTTCAGAATGAGCAATGAAGAAGAAGAATTAACCAACTGCTAAAGAACCAGTTTAAAAATTAAAAGAAATTACACTGGTCACCAACCTCTCACTACAGCCAACACATATGACTCCAAGTGTAGCAGACAGGTTTTCAAATCTTGTCTAAATTTGATCCAACTCTGGTTCCATATGAAAATGTTAGGGGAGAGACTATGATTTGGGCAAATGTAGCCGTCAAGACAAGGAGGACTATGGAGCTGTCAAAACATCTGGGATTCTGTATGTGACCCAGTGCCCATGTGCTTCCTACTCCAGATATCAGAGCTGAAAGAGTTACTTTATTTTTTTGGACAGCAGCTCAGAGATTCCAGAGACCAGGCTCTGATAAATATGCACTATTTTGTCTGTCTCATCTAATTATGACATTTAACGGTGGCCTTCCTGATCTTCCCTCATTTTCCTTCCAGAGCTTGGAATGGTAGAGCTCTCAAAAACGCTGGATAAAATCTTCTTGATCCTCCCCAACTATTGCTTGGGGCAAAGCATCAGTGTGTTCTACCAAAATTACGAGTTCATGCAGTTCTGCACGTCGTCTTTCGAGGCCGGCATCATCTGTAGAATGTTAAGTGAGTATCCCTGACTGGGTTTGGTGAGAACTTCTAGGTTGGGTCAGAACTCCCCATCATGATAAACCTGGGAACATCACCAAAGACAGAATCCTTGTGTCTTGGGTGTGGTGATAAGTTTGAAAGCGTGGACACTCCATAGGACAGTCCTCGTAACAGGATCTACTGGGAGATTTGGAAAAAGCAGGCAAACGAGCTGAGCTGTAGCAACAAATAAGGAGCAGGTCCTTTGCAAAGATTCTTAAGTGCCCTCCAAGGCCGAACCACTTTCAGATCCATTGCATTACAAGAAAGGTAGCGTGCTTTTCTCTGAATGCTGTTCCTGGTAAAATCCATTTCTTTCACCATGACTCCCAGAATTGTAACTAAGGTCAGAGAGGATCAGCATCTTTGAGTGGGGGTTATGGATGGATATTTGCAACTCCTAGTGCTCAGAAAAATCCTGAGACTTCGATTCTGCGTTATTCCATTGCTTATGGGAACGTTTCGCCTTGGGAAATTCTCAAATTCTTGAAAGGTGGTCACACAGAGGAGGGGCAGGATCTGTTCTCGATCATCCCAGAGTGCAGACCATGTCATAATGGGTTCAAGCTACAGGAAAACCAAATTTAGGCCACATATCAGGAAAAAACTTCTTAACTGTTAGAGTAATACGACAACGGAACCAGTTACCTTGGGGAGTTGGTGAGCACTCCAACTCTGGAGGCATTCAAAAGAAATTTAGAGAACCACCTGGCAAATATCCTTTGATTTTTGGGAGTTGAACCTGACCGTATAAGTCTCTTCCAACTCATTCATGTCAAGTTCACACACACCCCTCCATCATGTATTGTCATGTCGTCTGTGGGAGGTCCAGTTCCTTATGTCTGGAGGGCCTGAGGTTAGAGCAGAATTCTATCTAAATTCAGCTGGAGGGGAAAATGGGAGAGGGAGAGAAGAAAATCAGAAGGGAAGGATCAGGGCTAACCTTAACTAGAAGGAAGGCTAAAGAGAGGAGGGGCAGGATCTGTTCTCGATCATCCCAGAGTGCAGGCCATGTCATAATGGCTTCAAGCTACAGGAAAACCAGAGTTAACCCAAATATCAGGAAAAAACTTCTTAACTGTTAGAGTAATACGACAACGGAACCAGTTACGTTGGGGAGTTGGTGAGCACTCCAACTCTGGAGGTATTCAAAAGAAATTTATAGAACCACCTGGCAAATATCCTTTGATTTTTGGGAGTTGAACCTGACCGTATAAGTCTCTTCCAACTCATTCATGTCAAGTTCACACACACCCCTCCATCATGTATTGTCATGTCGTCTGTGGGAGGTCCAGTTCCTTATGTCTGGAGGGCCTGAGGTTAGAGCAGAATTCTATCTAAATTCAGCTGGAGGGGAAAATGGGAGAGGGAGAGAAGAAAATCAGAAGGGAAGGATCAGGGCTAACCTTAACTAGAAGGAAGGCTAAAGAGGTCCACCCTTGTGGGAAACGTGGCTTTTGAAGAGGATGGCCATTAAAAAAACAATAAGGTCCCGTAGGTGAGGGGCCCGAAGCCTGTTTAATAAATGCTTTTAAGACTCCCTAAGTATAAATAAACAAGCCCTGTTTGTTTAAACGGAAGGATGAAAGAGGTGTTAAACGGCGTTAAATGCAGAGCTTGGAAAAGTTGAGTTTTTGGATCACAACTCCCAGAATTCCTACCATGTACCAGATTGTCTAAAATACAGTGGTGCCCCGCATAGCGAGGTTAATCTGTTCCGGATTAACCCTCGCTATGGGAAACATCGCTCAACGAAACGAAAAAACCCATTGTGAAAGGCATTAAACTTGGTTTAATCCGTACCAATGGGCCCCGAAACTCACTGTTGAGCGATGCTTCCCTATGGCCGGCAGCCATTTTCGCGCCCTCCCCTCGCTTAAAGGCTAAAGAGGTCCACCCTTGTGGGAAACGTGGCTTTTGAAGAGGATGGCCATTAAAAAAACAATAAGGTCCCATAGGTGAGGGGCCCGAAGCCTGTTTAATAAATGCTTTTAAGACTCCCTAAGTATAAATAAACAAGCCCTGTTTATTTAGGATGAAAGAGGTGTTAAATGGAGTCAAATGCGGAGCTTGGAAAAGTTGAGTTTTTGGATCACAACTCCCAGAATTCCTACAATGTACCAGGTTGTCTAAAATATTCTGGAATTGGTAATCTGCATAGGTGGCTTTCCCATCTCTCCAGACCCCCCCCCCTTTTTTTGAATGGGGTTTTCGCAAAGCGAAGGTCGGTAAGCGAAACGCTTACCGACCTTCACTACGCGATTTTCAGCCATAGAGGCCATCGCTTTGCGATCGCATTAGCGATCGCAAAAACATCCTCACTATGCGGAGTCGTCATTCTACGGTGCGCTCGCTAAGCGAGGCACCACTGTATTCTGGAACTGATAATCTGCATAGGTGGCTTTCCCGCACTCTCTCCAGATCCCTTTTTTTAAATGGGGTTGTGGGAAGGGCTCTTGTTTACCTTTTCCAGCTCTTTTACAGATATCACCTACCAGTCCAATTACTTTGCTTGGGATAGCCCCGGGATTGGCAAGTACTTGACGTCCATGGCTGCGCAGGGGCTCATCTTCCTCCTCCTCCTCTTCCTCATTGAGACCAATCTCCTTTGGAGCCTGCGGAACCTTCTCTGTGGTGTGCACCGGAGGCGGAAATGGGTAAGGAACAGAAGGAAGGCCCTTTTTTCCATTGGTAAACTCCGAAGCCATGGGTAGCTGGACGGCGTGGACACCCACCCTAAATGAGAACCATATTTGGCTTCTTGGATATCTGTCTCCATTTTCAGTTCATTAGAAAATTATGTGTTTCTGACTGAAGTGAAGTTGGAAACCAAACCCTATGAGGCAAAACTGAAAGAACTGGGCCTCTTTAGCCTTAAGAAGAATGAGGGGAGATAGGATAGCACTTTTCAGATACAGTGATGCCTCGCTTAGCGATTGCCTCGTTTAACGATGTATTCGCTTAGCAATAAGGTTTTTGGAGCGATCTTGCACTCCGTTTAGTGATGTTTCCAATGGGGGAATTTCGCATAGCAATGTTCGGGACCTTGCTTCGCTTAGCGATGACAGTTTAGGTCCCCGTTTTGCTTAGCGATGTTTTTGACAGCTCCATTTTTGCTATTTTTAAAAGGTGTTAAATTGTTTAAAAAGGGTTTAGAGTGCTTGAAATAGTTAGTGCACTTAATAAACCCTTTGTTAACCAAATTTGGCTTTGTTCTGACTCTTCTTGAATTTTTGATGATTTTTTTTCTCCCCCATTGAAATGCATTGAAAAGGTTTCAATGCATTCCAATGGGGGAACCACGTTTCGCTTAGCGATGTTTCCTATGGCAATTTTCGCTTAAGGACAGTAATCCGTTCCCATTGGAACGGATTATCCGGTTTTCACTGCATCTCTATGGGAAAATGCTTTCGCTTAGCGATGTTTTCCCATAGCAATGAATTTTTTGGAACCAATTAAAATCGTTAAGCGAGGCACCAGTGTACTTGAAAAGTAGACTACAGAGGAGGGGCAGGATCTGCTCTCAATCATCCCAGAGCGTAGGACACGTAATAAGGGGCTCAAGTGACAGGAAACCCAGATTTCAGCTGACTATCAGGAAAAGCTTCTTAACTGTTAGAGCAGTACGTCAACAGAACACCTTGGGAGGTGGGGAGCGCTCCAACGCTGGAGGCATTCAAGAGAAAAAATGGACAACCATGGATCAGATCTGATTTGATTTGGATTCCTGCGTGGGGCAGGGGGTTGGGCTTGATGGCCTTAGAGGCCCCCTTGAACTCCATTATTCTATGATTCTGTGAAGTTAACAGCTGAAACTCTGCAAGCAGTGCCTAGAGAGCTTTCAAAAGCCAAAAGGGTTGTCAGGGTGTAAACTGCATTCAGATTTTTGCATTCTAAAGCGGTGTTGAAAATGTCATAGTAATTACTAAGTTAATTAATTAATTGGTCAGCTGACTGTGCTGACTAGAACTGATGGGAGCTGCAACTGGTTAACATGCGGAGGGCTGCATTTTGTATGCATGTATCTTGGTAGAAGTGTCGCTGAATTAATATCAGACATCAGAAATTGCCCCAAAGATGCTTTAATCCATTAACTGAACGGATACACTAGGTAAATGTTGCCCTTTTGCCATTTTTGTGTAACTTTGCATTGCAATGAGGTGCAATCCACTCTGTCCGGTTCAGGCTCTCTTTATGTCGCGACCGTATGCCCACTGTTGGCTTGATGTCGGCTCCACAGGTGATGTTGCTGAACAATGTCCCTCTGCTGCCGGAAGACCGAGATGTTGCAGATGAGCGGAAGAAGGTCTTAGAGTCTCCGACGGCATCGCTTTCATCTCTCAACAGTCCTCTAGTCATCAAGGAGCTCACTAAGGTGAAGGGAAACTCCTGATCCTCTTGGGTTGCTTTTAAACTTGACATTGAGGATGGCTTCTGTTTGGGGAACCAGCCGAAATGCGCCTTTTAATAATGAGGGGCCAGTGCTGTATTGCCCCGGTGCCACTCCAAGGACTATACCGTTCTTCAAAGTCTGAATCTTTTCTTAAGGAAAGAATACCCCATGGCTTGTGGGTCAGGTTCAGAAGCTCCAGAGGAAAAAAAATGTTTCAGAGTGCCATGAGGTTGAGATGCTTCCAGGCCCAAAGGCTGTTGGGGGACACTCATCGCTCATAAGAACACTGTTCTCATTTTCTCTACTCCCCGTTGGAAGCAATGTGAAGGGATTCAGTGGCAAAGTGCAGGCACTCATCATGACCAGAACTGGGGAAAGTTCCTTTTTCCCCCTCTTCTGGACTCAAACTCCTAGAAAGGGAATAGGTACTTAAAAAAAAACTTCTCCAAGCTTTGATGTCATTCTCACTAGCGAAGCCCACAAAGAGAGTCTAAACAGGATAGCAAATTGTGTTGAATTGTAGCAGCACAACTGTTAGAACGGGTTTCATATCCACTATGATTAATCCTGTGTAAAGCTAGTGAGGTTTACTCGCCACCCCAAAGTGCTTTTCATCGTGCCAGAGATAACTCACGACTAGAGATGGAGGAGAACCGAGCGACGAACCGAAAATGTTATGAATCCGGGCTGGTTCGTGGTTCGGTTCGTGCAAGCCGCATTGACGAAAACAAAGCACTGAACTTTTTTTTCCTGCTTGGTTGTTTGCTTGGGCAAAACCAATGTCCCGACCCCACCCATCCCCTTCCCGCTGCCCCTGTTGACCCCTACACCATCCCCACCTGGTCCGGTTGCCTCCGTCTCTTCCTCCTCAGCCACGACCGTCTTCAGAGAGAGCAGCCCAACTTGTCTTCCAGGAGAGCAGGGCCCACAACCTCGGCACACGCTAGCCCAGGGGTTCGCATAAATCCAGGGCTGGGGGATGGTTTGTGGTTCATGAGTATCCACGAATCACCCTAATTCTTTGTTTTTCCAGTTCGTACCCATAACAGGGTTATGGCTTCAAGGATTCCTGGTACAGTGGTGCCTCTCTAGACAATGATAATCCGTTCCACTGAAATCGCTGTTTAGCGAAATCATCGTCTAGCGAAAAGCATTTTCCCCATTGGAATGCATTGAAACCTGTTTAATGCGTTCCAATGGGGAAGAATCATCATTGTCTAGTGAAGATCGGCCATAGGAAAGCTGCTTTGCGAACTGCCAATCAGCTATTTAAATAGCTATCTTGCGAAGCTTAGGTCCCAGAAACACCCGTTTTGTGAGCACGGAGGGAGCTGTCAAAATCGTTGTCTAGTGAAAATTGGTTTGTGAAACAGGGACCAAACATTGTCCAGCGAAATTCCCCCATATAGCTATAGTGATCGCAAAAAGTCAATGTCTAGCAAAAAAACTGTCATGCGGGGTAACTGCCTAGCGAGGCACCACTGTATTACAGCTTAGCTCAGAAAAAAGCAAGAAGTCTTAAGGCGGCCGAAGCAGATCTCAGCTGGCTCGTTGATCCCAGGGCTTTCACTTTGGAAGGATGGACTCTGCTACTCCCTGGAGGCATTTCCTGTGTATTAAGGGCACCTTCTCTGAGGGCTTGATCCTTACAAAACTTGGAGGAAGACCGATGGCCAGGAAATGGTCCTATGACACCACTTCTTCGGGAAGAATCATAGTGCAACATCCTTCCTCACCCCCACAATGTTCTCTTCCAGGTGTACAGTAGCAGGGACTTGTGTTTGGCGGTGGACAGAATTTCCCTGGCCGTCAACAAGGGCGAATGCTTTGGCCTGCTTGGTTTCAACGGGGCAGGCAAAACCACCACCTTTAAGATGCTGACGGGAGACGAGAGTATCACGTCGGGAGATGCTTATGTAGATGGGCACAGTATCCTGGCCAATATCAAAAAGGTAGGCCAAAGGGTTGGATGTGGACTTAAAAAAAGAAAAGAAATAAAATCACAATTCTATTTGTTCTAATACTTTCTCCTTTTCCGACCGCCTTTTCCCAGGTGGGGGGGGGCGTGGCCTCTCTTTCATCTGTCTACAACAACTTTCTTTAAAATCTCTACCAAAAAGTTTCCGTAAAGACTTTTAGGGGAGCAGTTAACCAGATCTTCGGTCCTTACTCATTTCGCTTGCTGGTTTTGCTCCACATGCCAATTTCAAAAATGTGTCTTAAAACTTTGGAAAACAAATCCGTGGGAGACTGTAACTCAGTCGTGTTCAGTTGTGCAAATGTTGTGTTGACATTCAGGGTGTTGTAGGGGGTTAGTCACTGTGACCTTATAGCATGAAGGGGCAGTGAGACTGGTGGAGAGCTGAGGAGGGTTTTGTGAAAGACTGCTTTTAGTTAAGCCTTTCGCAACGTTCTGCTAAAGAAACGTATTTGGACATAGTCTAAGAGTCATTGATTCCATGTGAATGGCTGTTTACCAAATGTGGTGACACACTGGTGTTGTTCATTTATGATTTCCAGAGGGCATTGCCCAGCAGCTGGGATGTTTAGGAACTCTGAAAGTTGTCTCCAGAAACATTACATGCAAAGTATTTACAGTGGTGCCTCGCTTGACGACGTTAATTTGTTCCAGCGAAATCGTTGTAGAGCAAAAATGTCGTAAAGTGAAATAAAAAAGCCCATTGAAATGCATTGAAAACCGTTCAATGTGTTCCAATGGGCTGAAAACTCACCATCCAGCGAAGATCCTCCATAGGGGTGGCCATTTTCGGTGCCTGTGCAGCGAGGAATCCATCCCTAAGCACAGCGGGGGGGGGGCATTTTCTGCAGCCGGCGGCCATTTTGAAACCCGACGATCAGCTGTTTTTGATCATCGTAAAGTGAAAATTGGTAATCGTAAAGCGGGACACGACTGTATGTGAGGAATCAGTTATACAGAGCTGATTCTCATGGGCAAATACATAGCTCTTTTTTCTCTGGGAAGGAAGAGTATCAGCACCAAGATGCAAGATCATAACAATTCTAACAAGTGGAAGATCTGATGCACTTTACTTTTGCAATGTTATTTTTCAAATGTTTAATGGATTGGTGCTTTTCTTCCATTTGATGAGAAAAGGAATAAATGTAATGTTATATGAGGTAGTTACTTTACTATGTCCAATGATAGGGCCGGCCCCGGTAAGGATCAAGTTTGGTAGGACACTGAAGGCTTTAGTAAAAGACTGTGGCTGGTGTCCTTCTTGAGTTTTGTTTCGTTGCCCTGTTGTTTACATTCAGGTCCAGCAGCGGATTGGCTACTGCCCTCAGTTTGATGCCCTTCTGGATCACATGACTGGGAGGGAGACCTTGAGCATGTATGCCCGACTGCGGGGCATCCCCGAGCGTTACATCGGCAGTTGTGTAGAAAACATGCTCCGAGGTTTGCTGTTGGAACCGCACGCCAACAAGCTGGTCCGGATGTACAGGTGAGGCATTCATTCGGCAGACATTCATTGTCCAGATATTGGACAAACCCTGGATGTGGGTCCCGATTCAGAGAGCTGTCACTGCACAGTTGTATGGGTGTAATGCAGCTTGCCTCTAGCCTCCTCAAGACCTGCATTTCAGGGGAAGCAGGGAATGTAAAACAGTGGAACCGAAAATAACAGCATATTTTAGCTTAATTTCCTCCCCTGCTGTTAAATAAGATTGTAAGCCACTCTGGATCCTTTTTAGAAGAAAGGTGGCATTTGAATGAATGAATGAATGAATGAATGAATGAATGAATGAATGAATGAATGAATGAATGAATGAATGAATGAATGAATGAATGGATGGATGGATGGATGGATGGATGGATGAATGGATGGATGGATGGATGGATGGATGGATGGATGAATGAATGAATGAATGGATGAATGAATGAATGAATGAATGAATGAATGAATGAATGGATGGATGGATGGATGGATGGATGGATGAATGGATGGATGGATGGATGGATGGATGGATGGATGAATGAATGAATGAATGGATGAATGAATGAATGAATGAATGAATGAATGAATGAATGGGAAAGGAAAGATTCTGAATGATGCAGGCATGGTCTACACTAGTCATTCCAAATCAGTTGGTCCCCAGGTGTTGTTGGACAACATCTCCCAGAATGCATCACCATGGGCCATGCTCTTTGGAGCTTCTGGGAGGTGCAGTCAAAAAATCACTTAGGCCAAGGGTAGACAAACTGTAGCTATCCAGGTGTTGGTGGAGTGCAGCTTTCATCAACCTAAGTCTGCAGAGGCAGTGATGAGGGATGGTGCAAGATATAGTCCCTCAGCATCATGGGAGGAGGGGACATAAATTGTCCACAGTGGTGTAGGTGGGGTGCATTATTCTGACTTGGAGGACATGCAGCTCAGAGAGTGTGCTCCTGAAAAAAAATGCTCTGCCTAAATGGTCACCACCTTGGAGTCATGGTGAGGAGGAGGAGGAGAAGATAATGAGTGGGATGAATTGGAATCTTTAAAGAAACGTGTTTTTTAAAAGGATACAAGCGCAGTGGCCATAAAGTGGCCGCAGCATCCAGAAACTCCAGCTCCTTTGCAAAGGAAATAAATTGTCAGCAACTTTCTCACACACTGAAACAATAAGTAATGATGCGATTCATCATCCGTACAATTTAAAACAACTCTCCCAGCGAGGGAGAAATTAACCACGTGCTGGGGCAAATTAATTGATGTTGCCCATGCGTCACGTGTACAGAAAATGATGAAACGATTTAAATAATGGCCAGATCTGTATAACTTGAGTTCTTTTAGCAGGTGTGATTGAGCCCTGAGTCACAGCCCATCTTCTTAGCTGCTCTGTGAGGTTCCTCTTCTCGCCAATTCAGGAAAACCTTTTTTTCTTCTGCTCTTCCAGGGAGCGTTCTGAAGCACGAACACCAGGGCATGGTCCATTATCACCTCACCAATAAGAACCTCAGTTGGGCGCAGGTAAGAGCCGTGGAAGAATTACCGGGAGAGGGTGGCCGACAGTCCAAAGACTGTGAACTCAATGTTTTCCCCCTTATGTTGCTCAAGGTATGTTGCAAAGCTGGGCACCAGAGCTTGAAAAAGTTTACATTTCTGGACAACAGTATCCAGAATCTCCCAGCCATCATAGCCTGACGCGACATTAATGGGAGCATTCTGTAATTTTCCCAAGCTCTGGCCAACGCTGTGGTTAGAAAAAGTGGGATGATCGCCTCAGGCTGCAGATGCTATTATTATAGCTCTTCTTCCTCAGACCCCTGGCTGTTCTTCTCTGTTGGAGGACACTGATGCGTGGGCCTCGCAGCTCATTCTGCTAGCCTCCCTCCCTCAGGGAGAGCAGAAGACACCAACCCATCAGTAGTGCCGCAGTTAAATTTGGCTAGCAGCCCCCTTGGCTTCTGGACATAGGAAGGTGGTGCCATTTTGTCCTTTGCCCCAGACAGCAAAATATCTTGGAGCAGGCTTGGTAATTACAGTGGGGTCTCGACTTACACTGGAAGGAGCTCCCTCAGGGAGAGCAGACGACACCAACTCATCACTAGTGCCGCAGTTAAATTTGGCCGGCAGCCCTTTTGGCTTCTGGACATAGGAAGGTGGTGCCATTTTGTCCTTTGCCCCAGACAGCAAAATATCTTGGAGCAGGCCTGGTAATTAGTACTCTATGAGTTTAATTACACATGAGGAACATGTGTTGAAGTTCATCTTCCATTATTACTTCCTGTTGGTGAGGCTGGCAAGAGCTGAAGGGAGGGGAAATCCACATAAGGGAGAAATACATTTCAAAATACAGTAGGACCCCCTTATCCATGGGATCAGTATCCGCTGAATCACTTATCCGCTGTCGGAAAATATTAAAAAAATTAAAAGAAAAATCCTTGAAATATACCATATTTTTCCATGTACAAGACGCCCCCATGTATAAGACACCCCCCCCACTTTTCTAATCCAAAATTAAGAAAAATAAGTGGGGCTTAGCAAGTGTAGGGGGAAACTCGTAGGT